CGGTAACGGAAAAGACCTGAGAAGAGATATTTTCGAATTAGTCATGTCCTTATGCTAATAAGTAACTTGCAAAAAAGATTTTTCTTCAACTCGTCTGCAAAAAAACTCCAACCAAATCTATTTCGACTTCATATGATATCACTACATATACACTCGAAGGTGACTGATAATTATACCTAATCTAGAATCAAATTTAGAATTGTTTTACAGGGAATGCGGTAGGAACACGAATACACCTACCTTCCGTTTTAACTTTTACATATTCCTGATGACCAGATGCAAAGAATATTAGATAAAAAAGCAAAAATAGTTTGAAAGATGAGTTATAATAACATCATCAATGCTATAATTTGTGAATATCAATTTGAGCTTTGTTTTAAAGTAAACAAGTAGGCGTTTCAATAAACGGTATTCACAAAATAGTAAAATTAACAAATTCATGAAACAAAAATATTAAATTCTAATTTCGATGATATAAAATTGAGTCAAATATTTCTGCCTAATATAACAATCTTTTAAATTCTTAACACAGGCAGAAAAACGTTTGACGTTTTCCTTCTCTTTGTTCGTCATTTCATTTGTTTTCTCGAAATGAAATAATAAATGTTAGCAAATTAAAATCAGTAAAACAAAAGCATCAGAACTAACTGCATGAACAAAACAAAAAAAAATAAAAATAATTGTGTTACACTTTAAGAGAAATGAGATAGATTGTGGAAAGTAATGAAAAAATGAGTTCAAAAGATACATTTTATCAGAACAATAGCTATCGGAGTCAAAAATGAATATAAAAAAAAAATGATAGTAGAATGGACTGACATTTTAGGAAATCTTTATTGATCATGTTGCAGTTTCATTGTTATTTACATAATTATTCTGTTGTTGTTTCAATGTTACTGTCGAGTTTCCACGTGGTCTTTGTGACGCTTTTCGCTGTGCAGCTAATGTTGCTTCAATAGCTGAAAAACGACGAAATGCTTCTGATATCATGTTTAAAGCATGAATTCGTGTGCCGATCGTTACAGGTGTCGATATATCAGCGTATAATCCTCCGTTTGTAGTTCCACCATTACTATCGGTTTGTGAAGAAACATTAGATAATTTTGAAGATAATGATGTTGGTATGGCGATTTTTGTGAACTCTGTATTTATTACTGATGATGATGGTGATTTTTTAGATGGAAATCCATTTTTATTATTACTTGATAAAGAAGTTGTGTTGGATTTGAACTGCTGTTGACCGTTGACTAGATCTTCAAGTAGAAATGGATTAACGTAGACAGATTATACAAAAATGTGATAACAGTGTACCTATCAGATAAACATGAAAGGGTACTGCAGAGACTGGTTTCTGTGAGAAACCGTAAGAATATCCAATACTGTCTCTTACACATGAAAAGAGGCTATAAAGATACTCATTTACTTTACATTGCGCATAGATGATGCAATGCCCATGATTTCAGACAATTTTTTTTTGCTATCGTCGCATAAAATTTTTGATACGACTTATAGCATATAGCGGCGGTATTGTCCGTAAGACTTCGCACTTCAAAAACAGACTTTTTTGCGAAGAACAAAAAAGTTTTGGACAGGACCACCTCCCCGTTCTGAGATGCTAGCTGGCAGAATGTAGACAATGAACAGTGAATTTAGTTTTGCAGTTTACTTCAAACTTAAATTTGTGTATTTTAGTCCGCATTCGTACAAAATAAATTTTTGTCTTTGCCGATATTTTAAGTTTTAAGTTCCTATAATGGATTTCTTTCTGTTTGGATTTTCAAAGAGTACAGGCGTACATGAGCTTTAACCATTTATTTATAACGAACGCACGTCAATATGAGATCCGATCCGATGTATATGCATAGTAGAGTTTCTGTTTACAGCTCATATAGTTTATTTCGACAATAGGTTGGTTCTTTTCCACACTACCTTGTTGTTTTAGTTGCACGCCCATTTCTGCTTTTGTCATATCTAATATACTTTTCATTCTACTGCTATTTATTGTTTCATCATGGTTTGTCGTTGTTGGTGATTGTTTGTTTTTGTGTAGTACGTCTAATTCTTCTCTTAAATCTCTTGTTTCATCTCTTAATCGTTGTACTGTTTCAACTAGCTGAAAAACACATTGATGGTATAATTACTGAAATATCTACGTTATATTCAAATACCTGTTCTTTTTCGTCTAATTCATTTTCTAATAGTGCATTATGTTCTAATGCTTGATTTAATTGTTTTTCAAACGTTTCTAAACTAACAGCCAATGTTCGTTTTCCTCGTTCTAAATCATCATTTTGCTGTTCTAATTCTCGAATGTACATTGTTAACTTTTCATTTAAACTATTTTTTGTAGTTAATTCATTTTGCAAATGATCTATTCGTTTGTCGTATTGTTTTAGTGTTTGTTCTGTTCTATCGTGATATTGTTCGTTAGTTGTACGCTCCTGAAATAAATCCGATTGTAATCGACGATTTTGCTGTGTCAATTGTTCTAGTTGAGTCTCTAATTCTTGTTCGTACGTTAACGATGATGTTTGAAATTCATCATAATCATTTTCAATTTTTTCAAAACGTTCTTTATATTCTAAATAACGGGCGAGTGCTTGTTCAAATGTTACTGGTTGATCATTAAAGGAACTAATAATTGCAGACATTCCTCACTTGCCTATTTCAATATATACATCTAAAAATAAATAACAGAAAATATATAATAAGCACCTTTTATGCGATGACTAAAAGTTTCAGAGCAGAAAAAAATCATATCATTTTGAGCACTGCTTCCACTTTTGTGTACAAGATAAATGCCGATAAAAAAAAAGATGAAATGAATGCTATATATGCGTGAAATTGGTATATTATTTGTTCAATGCAAAAACTGACTGACTCAAACATTTCATGTTCTCTAAGGTTTTTTTATAGTATATTCATATCGAATTTTTCGTCTCTTTTTCTTTTGCTTGTATCGTAAAACTGAAAAACTTCTATTCTAAATAAGCATTTGATAATAATCTATAATGAACGATACAAAGGTTAAAAAAGACATAAAAAAAGAAAACGATAAATGGTAAAATGAAGGTTGATTAGAGTCACACATTTTTTGCTTTGATTTTGAATTTTATCTTCTAAATATAATGGACAACTCATGAACAAAAACGATGTTATCAAAAGGATAGAAGCAACAAAACTTAAAATTCAATCATTTGCCTGTTGTACAGTTAGAATAGAACATGTAAGTAATGTGCTTGACAATAACAGGTGCTGGACAGAACAATCAAGCCTTCTATGAATTCCATTTTAGAAAAATTCAATTTTTGTTTCATTGTGCAGAATGTTTTTGAACAAATAAAACGAATCACATTTACTTCAAAAATACATTGTTCAAATAAGCAAAACCTATTTCTTATAACAGTATATTTTGTCAATATGACTGTACAAATTATCATTGGTATCGAAGAGACCATATTCAAAAAGGTTGTCATACACCTGTAGAATAAAGATATGAAAGATCCAAATCAGAATAGTGATTTCAACACACAATCCTAGCTAGAAAAATCAGGAAAAACATAAAATATGTTTTTCGTGCAAAAAAAAAGGAACACAATCATTGTACATGGTGAGTTATGATACTCTTGACACTTCCTTCGAACTGTATGAGATACGTTCTTATATATTCAAAAATAATTCAATACGGTCAAAATATGAAATACATAAACTACTTAGGGAAGTCGAAAAACTTCTGTCACTTCTAAAAAGGATCTGGTTGGTTAAGATCAAGAATCTCCTATACACTCTAATATCATTGTTTAAAAATTCAGACGTTGGCGGGTAAGAATCTGTCATCAGAATATCTTCAAGTATTTTCCTTTCAGGAAAAACCAGAGCTTTTCTCATAGAGATGTGCAAACAAGCAGAAGTTCAGTAAACCGGCTATAACTCAAAAATTAACACATGTCTATCAGTGTCTGGGCTTTTAAACGATGATATGCAAGTGTATAGGAGATTCTTGATCTTAACCAACCGGATCCTTTTTAGAAGTGACAGAATTTTTTAACTGACCTACGTAAATTAAGGTGAATGAAAACATCCAAGAAACACACAAAAGTGAAAAAAATGCTTAATAATGCCAAACTGAAGATCTATTTTGACAGTAACAATAGACAAGATCACGATGTACGAACAGTTACAACATAAAAGAAAAACTGACATATATTTATAAGTAATACACAAGAAACATCTTTTTTTTCTTCTACTCCATATCATATAAGATATTATACAATTCTGTTATACATTTAGTTAGATTTAGTTGTTTTTGTACAACAGGACTAAAGTACATGGGAAATAGAAATATCTTTAAAATATCAAATAGAATATATACGAACAAGTTAGTATGAAAATGGTTGTATTACTAAGGTAAATAAATTATACATATATCGCTCGGTTATAGGAAGTAAAAAAGAAGAAAAAAGAAAAAGAAAAAAAAATAAATTATCAAGAACTCAAGAACTTGTACGTCTTTTCTTAATTTTTGTGTTGTTGTGTGGATGGTTGCACCGGTTTTGTTACTGGCTTTATTCGAAAACATGATATATCGAGAAAGTCACATAATTCTTGACACACCTTAATGTTGTACCTCAACAAATCAAATACGGAATAGACCTGAAATAGAAAAACACATCGGGTAGACAATTACTACTTTAAAAATAATGTATGGCATTTCCCACAGCTCCAACTGTCAGACATACAACTGTTTTAAGCGAAGTTTGTGTGAGTCTATGAAAATTCGCTAATCACATTATTCTTGCTTGATATGGATTTTAGAAAAACAGGATTTTTCTTAAACATGTAAATCAGCGCCATACAAATCTAGTCTCAAATCTGTTGTAGCTACTATGATTGACGAGAAGAAAGCAAAATAAAAAGAGAGTTAAACTTCTGAGTGTCACTTTACAAGACAAGAGTTTCAAATGATTCTAAGAATTGTAATAGTTCCAGCACCATCCTTAAATATAAGACTAGTCTAAGATAAATGAGAAGTGATATCTTCAAAGTAGTCTGAAAGCGAAACAAACTTCAAATTTACGATACCTCGAGATTGAAAGTTGCTTTATCGACCACGGAATTCTCAAACGATATGCTTTAGTAATTTGAAAATTGCCAAAGAGGAAGAATTATTGAATTGCTGAATTTAGATCCTAATCCACAGGGTACAGTTGTAATATTTCAACTAGAGCTGAATCTATTTCATAGGTAACTAATTGCTATCATCACAGTTTTGCATGCGAAGTGTTTATCTTACTCGTACTTTAGTTCGAAAAAGTGAAATTAGGGTGGCCTAGGGACCATGCAGTCAAATACTGTTATTAATGATCAGCATATGACGAAAACTACGTATTGCTAGTAGTTGTCAGCGAACATTTTGGAAAATAGACCTCAAGTATCTTACAATTTGCTGTGACCTCCTTAGTATGTGTAAAAATCAAAGCCAAAACTAAGAAAATTCAAGGGATATGGAAATAATCAAAGCTTTGTGTATATTTGAATTGAACGTCCTGATATATTCGTGAAAATAAAGCGTCTATTTCGAGGAATCTGATATCTACTCTCAAGACAAGTGTTTATCATAGATAAGATTGTATAAACTTACTACAAATAACCATAGAATAATATGTTCGTTGATTGTTGTGTTCAGGTATTGATTTATACATAAAACGAGTGGCCCAACATAAGAACTATCCCACGTGTTTAATGCACTTCTTGACATATGAGCAACCTAAAAAATAGGATAGTCAAAGTTTAGACAAATAACATGAAATATTTCTTCCGCTTACAATAAGTCGATTTGTTATTTTCGAAAATACAAATCCATACGCAACAAGATATAATGATGTATGTTCTTCTAATAAATCAGCTTTTGAACAATTTGCAGCGGCCATACTGAATGCAATCAAGATAAATATTGGAATAGCTGGAAATACAATGCTGGTACCCTAAAATAAAACACAACAACAATGAAATATAAATTTATGTATTTATTATACATAAAATTTTCTTCTTCAACCAAAGAGATAGAAGAGGTAGATCAGAACCTGACGCTTTATAGAAGATGGTGCTCAACAGATAACTGTTTTTCTATATCATAAATTTTCCAGAAGATGGCTAACAAGGGATATTTTCAAGTGCATCACCAAAGTTTCATTGAAATATTTTGTGCATACTAATAATGAATGTGGTGTACGGTCACAAATATAGCACAGTGGGCATTCAGGTGGAAATTTAGAAAAAAATAGTGAGCTTGCTTTTTCGTAATTTAAATAGTGTTTCATATACTTCGAATGACGGCCGATTTAATAGCGGAAAATTTTTTATTCTACGACTTTTCCTTCTATAAAAGATTTGAAATGCAAAAACACCATATAAATGCGCTACTTTTTCGGAAAATTTCGATTTTTATTGAAGGATAGTAAATTAGATTAGTTAGTAAATCATATTTGAAAAGAACACAGTCAGGCGAATACGAAATAAAAAAGAATTTTGTTTTTCGAGTGAAACTTAAGAGTTTTGGAATGGATTCTTTCGAAAACGGTCTAGGCTGTAAAGGCTCTCTCCGGTATTTTGAGAACGCGCAGCTTAGCACAGGACTGAACTAACATATTTTTATACCAAAATGTTCCTCGCGAGACCGTGCATCTATGGTGAATGCGCAAAAGTACGCATATTTTCCTGGACTGAGATATTGGTTTTCCAAAATCCCTCGGTTTTTGAGATAAACTGACCTTTCGCACTCAAAGAACATTTTTTCCTACATGATATATATATATATTCAGAATCACCGTGAAAAACTATAAGGATGGTATATAATTCATCTGACTTCGGTCCTTCCGTTCTGAATTCTATAAATTTTCTGGGATTCACACGAAGAACTTTCCGTTGAAAATTTAAAATTCAAGAGAGAAACCGTGGAGGGTCTGAAAAAACTGCTTCTATAGGTTATCGACGTTGCTCTATCCAATGGAATGGTTTTTCAGTTTAAAAACGTTTTTCAAAGGGTTTTCCACAAATCCGGTCTCTGGAGAACCCACTGGGAAACTTTGTCGAAACTGGAAAACTCTTTCATTGGAAAGAGAATCGTCAAAAACCTATAGAAAGTGCTTCAGATAATTTCAGTCTATTTATAAAGTTAATGTCCGCCTGCTCTAGCGAAAAATGCGCACTGTGTCTAGTGACCCTAACTGTCACTGTCAAATGGTTGCTAAGTAATGATTTTTTTCTGTCAGGAGTTTCCTATATCAGATTTTTCACAGCATTGTTATTTAGCTAAAACCATCACGAATGTTTTGTAGATCAGCATCATAGCTACACTTCGGTACGTCTTCGAACCTTAGATCACACTTTTTTAAAGACTTGTAAAAGTTTCTAAAAATCAGAGCGCGATCTGAATAGGAAAATTTTTCTAAGTATATCATATTGGATACTAGAAAGGATATGTTAATTTTAAATATTTAATTCGATAGATTTCGTTCGAATATACGTGTAGTAACGTTGAGTTGAGACAGACAACCCGTGTCTGTACATATCTATCTGAGTAGCTTTTTTATAAAATCAAAACATCTTCATTGATATTTCTGATTCTTAAAAACTTTTACAAGTTTTTAAAAAAATGTGATCTGAGGTTCGAAGACATACCGAAGTGTAGCTCTGATGCTGATCTACAAAACATTCGTGATGGTTTTAGCTAAATAACAATGCTGTGAAAAATCTGATATAGGAAACTCCTGACAGAAAAAAATCATTACTTAGCAACCATTTGACAGTGACAGTTAGGGTCACTATATTTGTGACCGTACAGCACGTTCAACTTTAGTATGCTTTACTTTTTTTTAGTCTGCTAACTTCGGGTTTCTTTAATATTCCATACTTCTTCAACACGTAGCATCAAAATGCTACTTACAGCGAAATATGAAAGGCGATTGGACGACCAAAGGTTTGCAAGTTAGTGAGCCCTTCTTCATTATAATCTGGGCAAAAACACTCATGTGGAGACCATGGTTGCGGAAAACATGGTATTATAGCTAACTGAAAACTAGCCAGCTAAGTTAACCACATAGCGGTTCTAAAGAAAAATACCAGAACAAACTGGAATCCACATCGAGATAATAAGTTTTGCTAACAAAAAAATGAGTACAATTTAGAAGAACGTGCTTTTAGCCATTACTCTGATAGAAGCTCAGTAACCATTGACTTCAAAGCATTTAGGATCGATTCACGTCTACTTACAGCAACCGATGCTCCGTTTCTTCCACATCCCCCTCTTGCTATTGTACTGCAATTATTATATGAACTCCATAATGTTGAACCAATTATTAGAACCGCAGCAAATATACGAAATTCAAATTGAAGAAATGGAATCTAAGTATAAAAAAAAAGTGTAAAGCTTGTTTTATTTTTTATCACAGTGGACATGTTTTACATACAGATTTAGTCCAAAATTCGGGATATATGCCACTAATTATATAAACAGTGATAAAACTAAATTGTGCTTCTGTACAATCAAGTCTAAAATCAGAATAAATCACTGGTGATTTTGTCAACCCAATAAAAGAAATTACCTTCCAAAACGAAGTTTACCGGATACATAAGTTTGCCAATGTGCACAATAAAATGCAAAATAAGAAAACATACAAGCCCAAAACATTAACCAGGGATAGACGCCCAACTGAACGCCACAGCAGCAGGCTATTGTGACAAAAACTAAAATAATAGAAAAATGTATAATACTGAGTCAGAGAAACAATCTATATTTTCTTACCAGCCGACACAGAATCGCATCCATGATCAAAAAGCTCTAAAATTTGAATTACATTGGGATGTTGTACTTTTTTTTAGCAATGTATTTTCTTACCTCCTAGAGGCGACTGAGAATTGGTTCGTCTTGCTTGTTTTCCGTCGATGGCGTCAAGTGATTGATAAAAAAATAACCCAAATGCTGTAAATATGTACATCCATCGAGAACACTAAAATAATAAGAGAATTCAAAAGTAACCTGATGTGAGACAAGTGAATTATTGACTGTGCATAGAGTAAAGTATAATACTTCTTGATATGTTTCGATATGTTTCTTAATATGATTATAAAATAAACACTTCCTTATTTTCTTCTTTAAAAGATCCCATACAATATATTACAAATAATATTTGCTTGGAGATCAAATAAGCAGCTTGGATGAGCAAATTTAACAAAGAAAGACTCTCTATTAATGTGTTTTTCATTCTATTAGATAAACAAACTTATTTGTTCTTACCGGTTCTTTTGCTCCGTCAGTTGTCACCATTAACAGAATACTTGTTCCAATATTTAATGCTAGTCCAACAATTGTCAATAGATTAGGTGCCACCCATAGTGGACAATATTGAACGAGCCATGTCCAAAATTTTTGCATAAGTGGATCAAATAACGTAATACCTTCTGACGCATATTTATGTTCTTTTAAACGAACTAATTGTTCTTCAGTCAATACAACTGGCATTTTACGTACAACATGTTCAACATCTGTTTTGAGTTGTTCAGTACGTTGCTTAAATTGTTGTAGATTAATATTATGTTTAGTCGCCATAACTGTTATACAAATAAAGAAACTGATAAAGACAAAACAATAAAATAATGATAATAAACAACAAAAACGGATTATTTAGTATTCGTTGCTACGTGTAGATCTGAAAAGAAAAAATGTTTCGCATGAATGATTAAATTTAAGTATCAAACTTATTTTTTCTATTCAATATCAATTACATCAACATTTTAGTTGGCAAAAAAACAGTGGACTTGATTTTAATCATATCAAATTCTCCAATAAAATAAACATCATCGAACATCCCATTGTAATCATAACAGATTAAAAGGGATTATTAAGCTTTCGATACACTTTTTTTTTATTCTCAATAGTGGATAGTAACAATTTCATGAGTTCAATGATAATTAGTAATAATGAGTTTTTATGTAGATGATCGTCAAAGAAATGGTTATTAGGTGAATAGCTAGTAGTCGATACTTGTCGGTCAGATGATTAATACAGAAACATTAAATTAGTTAAAATGCGTATATTCATTGATTAAACTATATAAAATTTTACCAGTGAATATTGTTAATCAAGGCACAAAATATAATTCTTTTGTTCACATTTTTTTAAATGGATCATAAGAAAGAATGATTCATACTTGTAAGCATTTGAAAATAGAAAATTTTTTTTTTACCAGAGTATAATATGAAAAGGAAAAGAAAAGAGAAGAAAAAACGAATCCTTTCAAGGTCAAAATAACATTACACCTTCAAAACAGAAAGAAAGAAAAAAAGACATTCTAGATTTACTTTCTTTTACAATAGAATAGCGAAAAAATATTATATGTTCACTTTTCAATAGTCCCCAGTATCTATTTCTTTGGATTTCGATATCTGATATTCATTTGTTAGAAATCGCACATATTTTCAAGCAAAATTTTATAATATCTTAATAAAAATGAGATCAAAGTGTAGGAATATTTAAGCAGTATGCGATGGAGTTTATCGAAGTAGTTTTCGATTGCTCAGCAAGATCTACTTAGATGATAAAAACAGTTGTTTAAGATGACTATTAGACTAAATAATATTGAATATAAACGAGTAGTTTCTTAACTTCTGACAAAATACTTAAGTTTCCTATTGCATCCACATTATTAATAATCTCCTGAAATAAGATTAGATATTGTTTAGTTTTAATTATCAGTGTCCATAACAACTACTTACACATAAATAAGTGAAGATCAGTATAATTGTGTAAATGGAAAAACAAACAAAAATTATTCAATCGTAGAAAGTTTACAAAAAAAGAATATTTATAATAAATGTTTAAATAGAAGTTATTTCTTTTATCGTATCACAGTTAGAAAGAGAGAAGAACTAGTTGACATAAATAAAATAAACAGGACATGGAACGTATAAACTGTGCACATGTTAAAATATCAGTGGATAACACTTAGGAGTAAAAATAACAAAGTTCAAAACAAAAATAGATCACTAGAAAAAATACTACAGCATACATCATCTATTGGAATCAGCAAATCATTCTCATTGGATACGGTTAACATATAATAAAAAGGGTAAAACTAAGACAGTAGTTAAATACTATCTGTATCAAACAAAAAGCTTTTTCTTTAATGCAATACGTCCTAGTTTTTCCAGAACAAGAAGAAAGAATGATGTCTCGATGAAATGCAAAACCACTAGGAATCATAGAATTAGAAATAACTGTCTGTATTTTTACATTGATAACTTTCAAACATAAGAATAGTTTTCTTTTTTTTCCATACAATTGATTTTAAGAAAAATGAAATTTTTCTCTCTCTTCGATAAGATTCATAATCCTACTATTTACTAACCAATCCATGATTATAAATGTTAAATATTTTGTAAATGCACTTTGTCTATTGAGAAGTTGTAGCATCGTCAGATCGATTACACACTTGATATTGATCTTATAGGTTCTTTTTTTGTACGACTATTAATAAAATCATCAATGGTATAAATTTTAGTCCAGTCTATCTGTGTGGGTTTGTAACAGAATATTTTATAGCCAATCAAATCGACATAATTCTGAATAATACCCAAACTAAAACGTACAATAAAAAATTAATCTCTGCATGGCTCTTCAGTATATTTAGACGATAAGAAGCAAAAAAAATTTACCTATAGGGATTATGAAATGATCCATTCGGCGTTCGAAAATGTTTATAACGCCAGATGTTCATTCGTTCATTTGTCGTATAACCGCTTCCAATCTAAAAATAGCCTTTTTTTCACAAAAGTTATTATTATAACTAAGAAGATTTTGTAGCCTAATAAAACCCTAGAGGCAGTTGCATTATTTTCGAATTTTTCTGAAACTGCAAAGAGCTGAGATATCAGGATATAGAAAAATCGATCAGTTTAGTCATTAGTAAAAGATAAATGGAAGCTCTTATTTACTTGAACTAATATCGAACTTAATAAAGCTGATATCCAAATAATATGTACACTAGCGATGAATGTGAACCAAAAGACAAACGGTGAACACCTTGGAACAGAAATAATAACTTCCCACATCGTCTGTATAGTTTGAATTGAATAACATTCATGAATGAAATCTTGAACGAAAAGATAAAAATACAATAACATTGAAACGGTTGTTAATCTAGTTTACTACGATGATCATTACACGAATACTCACATAAATATGCGCCATGCAGATATAACCCCAAACATAATGGAGTGAAAAAGAGAAAACCAGTAAAATAGGAAAGATTTTTATCTCCTTTAAATAAAAGAGAGATAAAATAGATAATGTCAAATGTCCAAAGAAACTTTGATTTTTATGCTTACCAATACAATTGTCCACCCACTAAAATGAAAATAGATTAATAATTTCGTCTGCTCATTTTTATCATTTGATGCTTACGGGGCAATGATGATCGTATTTCGCTACACAACGATTGCATTCACTACAATGTTTTGATCTTAATGGACGATAAATGAGACATGATGTACAAAATGTATCAAGATGAAATGTGTCCTGTTCGATCATCTGAATAATAGTCTAAATGAGAAAAAAAAATTGATTTTGGTAGAAAAATTTAATTATCATGTTGTTTTTACACGTAATTGCTGATCGCGTTTTGATTGTATAACGCCAGGATCACTTTTCTGAGCTTTATAAAAATTGTACCACGAAAAATACGTGCATATAAATTGAAACAGGAATGAAAAAGAAAATATTTGAACATCTGTTAGCAGTTAAGAATGAATATATAACATTTTCTTGTTTAAACTGCAAAAGTACCGTATACGTCAATAAACTGAAAAGGATACGTTTAAGAAAAACGAATAAATAAATAAAATAAAGCCAGAATATGGATGCAATTGCAATCGAAACAGGGATATCACGATGAACGTTTTGATCAAAAAATATCCTGAATGAAAAAAACAACATTTACCAACGTAACAATATACATGTCATCAATTTTCGATACTTACACAGAATATCCACGAACTGCGAGAAAGAAGAGGACAAATATAATTAATTTATATATGATCCATACATCCATTTGAATCAGAAATCCAACTAGAATCAAGACAAGGTATGGTAACATTTTTGTGGCAAAACGTCGAATGGGCTGAAAGCGAAAAAAAATTTCTCTGAAATAAATCGAACATTCATTGTACAAAATGAGAGAATACTCTATCAAAACGCATCCATATTGGTTTATCATTGTTGTCGTAAGTTAATTGAGCTATGATATATGTTAAACTCTGATTTTCATGTTTTAATGCCAGTTCAAATACATCTACACCCTGAAAATAGCAGACATATCTTTAATTTTTTACTGCAACTATTTGATAAACACTTACCTCTGAATTTTTAATACTTATTGATGCACCATTGTCCAGTAACGATCGAATAGCATCAACATTATTACTCATTACAGCATAATGTAATGCTGTATTCTGATTTTCAACATTTTGATAATTCACACGAGCACCAAGACGAATTAGTAATTGAGTAGGATCACGACTAAAATGATAAACAATGTGAAGTTAAACTAAAATATTGACGAAAAAATTATAGCATACCTACGACATCTGTAACAAGCGTGCATCAATGATGTCATTCCACTTTTATCTAGTGTTTCAACATCCTGTCCTTTTGCAATCAAATAGGCTACCATTGCTGTATGACCAAACATACTAGCCAAATGAAGACTCGAAAATCCTAAATAAATAATATCGAGATATTCAAGTGAATAGGATTTTGTTTACCGCGAAGGCGTGATTAAAATTCTATGAAATAAGTGCTAATAAAGAGCAGTTATATGTCTATAAACGAACCTTCTCCGTCTACAATATCAGCTTTAGCTCCATAAGATAATAACAATACAACCGCTTCTAATTTTCCATCTCGTATCGCCCAATGAAGCGGTGTTGAACTCAACGTTCCACCTATACAATTAACTTTTGCACCATTCTCAATTAGAAATTTTGCTATGTCAACACGATTATTGATAGCTGCCCAATGCAATAAAGTAATATTGTCAGGCAATAAGGTGTTAACATTAAAACCGTTTTGAATTAAATCAACCACACGATCGAAATAGCCATATTGCACAGCTCTAGAATAAAGAAAACTATTAATTCGTTTCAAACAGATAAATAATACTTTCACGTACGTAACTATATCAGCTGTATGAGGATCAGGTGCAGAGTCTTCGATCATTTTTTGAACCGGATAAGGAACAGAACTATTTGTTCCATTACTGGTTAATGAAGGCTAGAATGATCAAACAAAAATAAAATCAACCATTACGCACAGCTATAATGTAACAAGTCGTCTGTGGTAGAATTTAGCAAAGATCTACCAGTGAATAGGTTAAAATTAAAGAAAAGAAAATTAATTCACAAAAGCAAGCTACAACAAAATTGTTTCTAGAATCACCTGCGTTGAACTCATATTGATTTTCTTCTCTGTTTATTTACAATAATCACACCGTTCTTCCTTCTGCTCATGATAGTCAATCGAAATAAAAATTTTCTTATTAATTACGCTTGTCATGCGAGAAAAATTTTAGAGAAATATCACTACAACTGACCCGTTAGTTTTGTGACTCAGATAACTATTCGTTTCTTTCTTTCTTGCCAAAGGCTACCATACATTAGTAACGAAGGAAAAGGTCGCCAACAAAAATGGCCATAAGATTCGCTACAACTACATTGAGTCGTTATAGGTTTTATACGAGAAACATTGATCGTAGCGAATCGTTTGCGTAGCCTTTTATCTTAATTAACAAAACAACTATAAACAAATACTAATTAGAAAAATAATCGAATAGTTCAGACCTTGATGAATGAAATTATTATAGATGTCACTCTGCGACCAACTGTAATTTTCGATTAGACTTTTCTCAACCAGTTCTAGGAATTATCGAAGAAAGCCGGTTTATTCCTTTGAAAAACAGTATGTTCTTGTTCATATATCTCTTTCACCATGGTATCAATCTATCTGCGTCGCATCGAGCAGTGACCAATCGCACAGCATAAAATCAGATGTATAACCCTAATGGGCGTTACGTTGCTATTATTGAGATTGTAACTTCTACCATGGCTTTTTATTCCTTGCTAATATGATGTAAACAAACAAAAAGTCGTCGTTATCGTTAAGCGAGAAACCAATCAAACGTGGATTATGCACAATAAATATAAAATGAGTTGCAAAAAAACAAAAGCTATTAATAACATGAAATGATCTTGGTAGTACTGAACTGCTAGAAATGAAAAAACGGTTGATTTCAATTATCACACCTTACCTGTATAGAAAACCCAACCGCAGTTATTCACATTACTATGGCTAAAATCGAGTCTTTCAATACCGTTGAAGCAATATTCAACCAAGCTCTAGCTTCTACGCGACAAAGTTTTTGACTAGCCTAAACAATTAGCAATCAGACTGGCTCCTTTTTACTGAAGAAAAACATTAGATCACTTTCTTAACAGATCGTCTATGATAAAGCGTCGTGGTGATTTATTTACTTTAAACCATCTTCATCGCTTATAATGTTTGGTGAAAAAATGTATACATCCATACTCTCGTTCTTATTTCAGACATTTTAATATTTTTTTTGTTGGCTACAAGCGGCAAAGCCGGGAGTGCTTCGGGGCTCAAGCATCTATGGATCTGAAAATGACTGATTTCGTGGGTGCTGAGTACCCTCCCCCCAGATTCGAAGGACTGAACACAGACTAAAATCTATACAAATAAATAAGCAGTATTCATAGTGTTTATATGTATAGTGAAACATGTTCAAAAATGACTTTTTTCACAATACTTCTATGAAAAAAAGGTAGCAACACTACAGGCTGCCATCTCTTTCTATGTATACTTCTTTCTTTCGTTTGTTTTTTTAGGCTGTGTTCATTACTATATTTATATATGTATATCTTGAACATATACATACAACAGGGGTTTCAGTCTTTTTTTTTAGTTCTTACTATTTTATTCGATAATAGATCTGTTAATTCCTATTTTTCATTCATAGGAGCTTTACATATTATACACAAAGTTATACGTTCAATTTCTAACTACGTAACACATCTTTTTCCTATACACATATTTTGTTATTGAAAATGAGAATTTTCTTCTCGAAACGTCGAATAATTTTAAAAAAAGATTATTAAAGTTTAACCTACTCTCTGTTTTTTAAAATAATTGATTCAGTTACTTTTCAAACTGTATTTGGCTAGAAACAGATAGAGCATTACAATTTTCGTCAATCGAAAGCCAAGATTTTGGTACCATTTTTCCATCCATCAAAAAAAAAGTTTGAACATCTCTTTTAAGGTAGGTTCTTTAGAGAATCTTTGAAAAACCATATAATTATTTGAAAACTCTGTAATAGCCATAGATCAGTTTTTTTTCATGGATTGATCGTGCAAAGTGTCCTCTTCGAAACGACCATCCAGTAAGACTCCTTCAGAAAAAGTTGATTACCTACAACTATTAGAGCAATTCGCCGCCTCTGTTTGTTCGATAAGTTATTGATGTCCCTTTTTACTCGATCAAAACAATCATATAACAAGAAAGTTCTACACTTTTATTCTGTTAACGAAAACAAAATAAAGTACTATTTTCATAGCCTTTGTTGTCAATTTCGTATGAAGAAAAGGAGTAAACATCAATGAATAAAGAGAAGAAAAAAGTAGTACAACAACAATAACAACAACAAAAACAAGAGACTATATCGACCAAGAGCAAATATGTACAATATGTCACAAATACCAGAGCGTGCCCCATTTTAGAATACAACATGAGCGAAAGAGATCGTATATAACCCATAATCGAAAGCATAAAAATAATAATACTACGAGCGAATCAACTGAAAACTAAAAAAGAAAACAATAACGAGAATATAAAAAAAATATGCTTAATAAAATAATAATTTGAGACAAAAAACGTACATTTCCGGAGGAAAGATAATATATCTGGAACAAAAAAATCTAATTCGACAAAAATGAACTCCACATATTGCGAAAACAAAAACATATGGCACATAGAAATAATAGTAGAAGATAAAGTTTGTACAGTGTAAAAAGGAGAAAGAGAAAGAGTTAGATTGTTTACTTCATTTTTAATTTTAGACGTATCTGTACATGAATGTTTTTATTTCGTTTGATGATTCTGGAATTATCCTAAATATAGAAAACTAGAATAACCAAACAATTCAAATGACGTTTTAAGAGTCTTGAACTTGAGACACTAAGCAGAGTTGCAAGGTCCATATCTCATCCAGCTACAAAAACTGTAAGTCCGAAATTTTTTAGTATGTATAGAGAGAGCATGCGTAACTGATATGATATAAATTATAATAACGCTGATAGAATTGGTTTTTAGTGTCCCTTGGACATTGACTACTGGCAATGAGTCAGTGGCACAAAATACTAGTTAAACCAAACTTTCTTTTACTACGTCGTCTACTAACAATGGAATCGAGTTTTTCGATTACAAACCATAATAAATATCGAGGAAACGAGCTTTTAGTTTAGAAGGATTAGTTTATATCGTTTGCAGCAGTACATATCGTACGTTTTCTTGTATATAGTCATTATCGTTCAATATTGAAAAAAAATATAGACAAAAGCCAAAGATGGTCTAGTCGTCACTTTTTTTAGTCTGAACCGTATAAAAAGCTGACTAAAGGCATTTTCTAAAGGTAAAATTCTCAATGATTCATTTTTCCAAGAACACGTTTCGGTTTCTGTCGTTTTAAGCAATTATTGTACTCATTCTGTTGAATATTTTTTACATGTTATCTTGTTTATTTCATTTTTTTGAAGCCCGAACTTAACGATAATTAAACACTATACAGTTTTCTCTAGTCTCGAGTATAGCAAATATAAGAAACATTTTCATAATAATCATAAATTTCACATGACTCACTTGAAAGTAATCTGAAGCAGTATATCAAGTTTATTGAGTCTTTTCCCTCGGGTTCAAGCCGTACGAAAATGTGACTTATCCATCTTTGACAAAAGTTCGACTAAAAGTCACTCATACTTCTCCATTCTTAGATTTAACTTACAGTTTACTTAATCGATTCCATTACCAACTGAACGCCTTTCTCTATTTCCAAGTATAATATTATTTAAATCAAGTCCGGAACTAAGAAATAATTTTGTTGATGTTGTTGCTTGTGCATGAGATGATGGTTCTTCTACAACTATTTGTTCATCATGAAGATTTTTTTTTCTTGCTGTTGATCGTTGTTTTTTAGATGATACTGTCATTGATGTCGTTGATACGATAGCAACTGGTGTTGATTTTCGTTTTTTCAATTGTTGACTTGATGGGTGTGTAACGGTTACATTCGCCATTGCTTTTCGAATTTGTTTTAAATCTTGATTAACACTCGTATTGGATTTTGACAAATGAGAATGAAAATCACCAGTAGAACTTTTTCGTTTTTGTCTGTTTTTATTTGCTTGCTGCAAATCATTCGTTGATAGAACACTTGATCTAGTATGGCGATGATTTACAATCGGTGTTGACTTTTTCGGTGGTTTTTGTTCTGCAGGTGTTGATGCTGTACGTCTAAATAAAAATAATTTTGTTATGTGAAAATAATATATGATCAAAATTCAAATATAAGTGAGAAAAACCTTTCATAACTTAAAGCCTATTGAAAGATAAAAAGTATCAGATCAATATACGTTTTGTTGTTAGTGATTTTTAGCAAAATCTTTTAATCTCTCGAATGGATTTAAAAGCTTAAAGTCATGCGACACGATGCATATAAGAAATAAAAAAATAGCCTGTGAAGATCTTGTACTTTATCTCATCTCCTGAAGTAATTATGCGGCTATGATTTACAACCTTTGACAGTTTATAGCTGTTAGTCAATAACAAATATGTGATCCTGTTTAGTGACGTTGATCTCAGTCGCAAAACCGTGGAGAAAGTGAAGATCTCTAAAAAAACGTTTTGTTCAAGAATGCTACCGACAAAACATCTATTATCTATCGAGGGATGGTCCTATTGGTCACTTGGTTTTTGATCGATCTGAATATTTATAGTAAAGTAGAAACTTTAACTCTCAAATTTAGCCCTTTCGTATATGGTCTTATTATTATTTACCTCAATTTTACCCGTTCTTCAATTGATAATGATGGTGAACTAGGATCATCCGGTTTGAAACCTAATATTTTCATCCAATTTTGATTAGTGTCACTATTATCGTATTTCTTTTTATTTATTATTCGACTGTGAGGTGGTTGCTGTTTATCTACTTTCGATGTAGGTGTAGCTGTTTTTGTTTTTCTACGAAGTGAAGAGTGTTGTTGTCGATGATAATCATGATCAATTATTTGTTTTGATTTTGTTGTTCGAGGTGATACTTTCATTTGAATATTTTTCTTTATATTGGATGACAATGTTGAAGATTTATTTCGTTGTCTTTTCGTTGGAACTAAATGTTTGTTTTCCACAAATACTGTTGAACTGGAAGTACGATTAGATGATCGTATACGTTTATTCATCACTGCAACGGTAGTTGGATTGGTGTTTGTCATTGTTGTTGATGATGTTGTTGAAAATGATAACAGTGAAGTATTTTCTTTATCACTCGAATTACGATCAACTGATACGGAACGAAACGGGGAGGATGTTGAAATAGCCGATTTTGTTTGACCACCTGTAAAGAGAAAAATATGTTACCAGAGACTCTGATCAGTAATATGATATTTGGCACTTTACTACTGAGAAATGTTGCTACTACTTCTGTATAAAATGATTCTTTTAAAATTTTTCTATAGTGACTTATGCACACACAATGATTTTTCTGCTGCCTCATGTCGCATTCAAACGCAATCTCGACTGAGTGCGTATCAGTATCGTTCCATTCGAAACACAGTTTATTTATGTGAGACAGAAAGTGAACTGCAAAAGAATACTGATGATATTTTAATTTTTCTTTGAGTGAGAAAAATTAGTTAAAAAATTCTACGGTTCGAGTTGCGACCTGTATAAATTGATTAAAGTATTTAAAGACAATAAAGGAAAATATAGAATATAAAATACATACGTAAACGTTTTGATGATTTTCTTTTCTCATCAAAAACATTGGAAGGTGGTAATGAATACGAATGATCTTTCAAAAATGGATAATCATATATCATTGTTCGTCCCTGTTATTATTTCAAAAAGTGTCGTAATTGTATTTTGACAGATGAATTGCTAAAGACTCGTCACAAGCAACTATCTCTTGTTTAATTCATAACTATCGAAGAAATCTGTAAACGACAATAAATTATTAAACAAAGAATCATAATTGTATGCTTATGAAGTAAGGATGAAACAGGATTATCGTGTAGTAGGCATAAACATAAAAATTTATCATCTATCATTATTTTCAGTTGGATACTTCCATTAGATAAAAGATATAAAATGAAAGATGTCTTGTCTCGTCAACAAGAAGCAAAGAGCAAGCTATAAGCGGTATTACGACTTCTAATACAAGCCAATCAGATATTAACTTCCAATGCCTCGTTTCTTTGTTATCAAAATAATAGTTTTGCTATATTTAATATCGTCTATATAAATGTACAAGGATGATAATAGATAATGCAGTAGCGAGGGAAAAAAAACAGATTGAGTACACGTTCTTATGGTTAAGGATGAAATGTATTCTACGTTTTTATATGTTGTTTCAGAATAAACATCTTCAATGAGTGATCTAAAGAGCTTCTTCCTCACACTCCTGATCTCCCTAGTTTCAGAAAGAATCTTCCGCCGAACAAATGTTCAAAATAAATAAGCAAAGAGAAGGAATAAAATTCAATCCGCAACAGGAGTGTGCAACCCTTGTATTAACACTAGGCTAACAAAAGATAGATTCACAGTCACATTTATCATTTTTATTAAATACATATAAATTGATGGAAACTGGTACTGTTTTTGTTCTTGCCTTATTGATCATTAAGTAAATAGCAATTGGTTTATGTGTTGACAAATACTCTACAGCTTAATTTTTTTATCGTGAATTTTTAGACTGAAGAATTTTATTTTTAAACAAAAAAGCTATGATATTTATAATACGATCGAGTTATGTAGCAAAATATGTCGCTAACAGTTACTCGGCAACTACGACATCTTCGTATAAACAAAACATCGTGCTTAGATAATACTAGTACTTAGTTTGAACTATTATTATGATTAGTTGTTGCCTAAACTATGCTAACAGAACTGTAAGTTGAACTGAAATTCTAGGATGTTTTTCTTGCGATCCGATTCTTTTTAGTCCTTGTGAATTGTTATTCTGACCAGAAGAAAGATTCTTGTTTATTATTTATTAAAGTTAAAAAAACCGTACGATTAAACATTGAAATCGTCTAATTTGTGTTGACCACCGCAGTAGTTCGTATTCCCAGGTCTATGATTACAACCATCCTATACGGTCGTATACGTCAAATTACGACGACGTAATTTGACGTATACTATAGTATACGGTCGTGAATCAATAACCTGGCTTTTTTTATCGTTGTCTATCCTAATATTGATTCAAATATTAATTTGTTTTTCTCGTTTTCATTTTATTCCGTGTGAGTTAGAGAGCATTAGTGCTGTTTAATTGATCAATGGTAATCAACGTACTTGAAATAAATCAGCACTATTAGTAAATCATTAAGCAACCAAGTAGTTTGGATATCGAAAGTGCGTCTTTGTTTTAAGACAAAAATCTTTAATTTTAAAAAGGGTAGGTCTATTGACACCCCCGGGGTGGCAGCAGGGAGCTATTGACAGCCCAGAATACACTTATACACTGCAAAAATGTGTTATTTAATAAAGACCATCATCTCCAGGTAACATGCAAGTATTCCAGTGGCTCACTCTCATGCACAGCCACCCAACCCACCCGAAATCACCTCTCATAGGTCGGCAATTTCAGAACTAATTCAACATAACACTTTGAATAACATATTACATACAAGCGAGGAATGAGTTGATAGAAGCTTTATTCTGTCAGAATACAGGCAGAAAAGTATTCCATTATAGTATTCTAAACTAAAACTATTGAAAAACACAAAAAATCAATTTTGTACGAATAGAGATTGGAACATATGAACTTAGCTTTGCAGTAAACTGCAAAACTAAATCCACTGTTCTGTGTCTATATTCTGTGCAACGATTGAAGTTGTGCAATTGATTAGATGTTATAAATGAGGAATGAGTTCAATAGATTATCAATATGTCTAATCAATGATGGTTCAAAATGGCTAATTATAGCCAGTCTTTAATCACAATGATTGGGAATGAATGAATCTGAATGATTGGGATTTATGAAAAAATAAGTCTTATTCGAATTTTTATGTGCACGTCTACTAAAACTTTGACATTTAAGAAAACACACGTTTTATAGAAAGGCTTTTACGCTTTCCAGAATTGATGTGCGTATAATCTTGTACAATACTCGTTACACACACCTTTACACAGAATAACATGCGATATTAAACATTCAAACTGATTAATTCCAAGCAGTCATTAATCGTCTAAAATAACGTCTTCATAAAAGGAAAATATCAATAAATTTATATATCAAAGTAAATCATGAAATTATAAATAAATCACCTTTAAACCCAACCGGGATGAAGCAGAAATGTGGAACCAATTTTTCTCTGCGTTGTAGTAAATATTGAACCCATTCGTAAATCTCTTGAAGCATCATCACCATAAATTGAATTATAACGACTAAATTGACGTGGTGTATATTGATGACGCATAACTCGCCAACTACTCGATTCAAATACGCGTGTAAAACGATCATTTTTTCCTGTACGATTACGTCCAAATCTTGAACGATATCTATAGAAGAAAACAGATATAAAGAGAAAGAGCTATATTTCCAAATATCTTAAATTTCGTTGTGATTATTCATAAAATTAATTGAAAATCTTTTTCTTACTTTTTCAGATTGTCTAAGATATCATCTAATGATTTTCCATGAGATGGATCAATTGCTTTATCAAGTTCTTTGTCATTATTTATTTTTTCCAAAAATCCATAAACGACACGTTGATCTTAGTAAGATTAAATGTGTAAATAAACTAGACAAAAAGAAATTAACTAAAGAAAAATACCTGGTGTTTTCGCTTTCTCAAACCATGTTTCTAAATAGCAAAACTAGAGTAGTAATGATGATGAATTTATTCAATATGTGTCTATTACCTATTTTATCTCCAACATCTGTCCAATCCATCGAGGCTGATTTAAATAATCTGCTTGACGGTGTTCGTTCTAATAAAACTGATTGCGACGGTTTAAACGAAACACAGTCTCTACACAGACCAGCACTTCCTCGACTTGACTACAATTATGCGTAAAATAATTTATATGATTATGAACTAAATTATTATTATTATTATTAGTTAATAACATTTAGAGCTTCTGATAATGAAAAATATGCATTACAAAACGTTCAAGTGGATGATTTAGAGCAAAATGGTAACTTTGTTCATTTTGCCGGCTATCTGTCTCTTTATTATATGTACACAGCATGAAAAACCTTCAAAAATCTTAACGAATCACACTAATAATAAGATACTGAGATCTGAAATACTTTGGTCTCCTCATTTTGGTTAATTCCTTCAAGGTAAACAATTCAATGGTAAGACATATCCTCTAGTGTTATTAGTCTAATAAAGCACTGAACTACAATTTGACTACAAACATACTGGAGTACGGGGTTTTGCACCGTTTCGTGGAATGTTATTAATATTGTCATCCGCAGTATTAACATGAAATGGTTGTTTGCACCGAACACATGTTTGAATTCCATTGGCAATCGGTGGTACTGAAAAATTATGTAAGAAAATTTTTTAAATAATTATTGTCAGTGGTGTTACTATCATTACGTACGAGTAAATGTCTGTTGTGACTGACATCGTACTTCTCCTAACTCTGAACGACATCGAGATTCTCGATCTGATTTTTCAACTTTACAAAATGTAAAGATATGTGAACAAGTTACTTTAAAAATATCACTATTTTACTTACTTGGATAATTTTCATTTCGCGCAACGTACTCACTAGACATTATACCGTCAATTTAGATACCTTCGTAGATGAATATAAAAGATCGATCATATGAAAAACTATGTATATCAAAGATACTTACGCGAAAACAATAATAATATTCCACCAAAACGAAAACAATCCTCTCAATTGAATATGTTGATTTTTATCATGTGTGCCTCTACTTTTTCAAATAATTGTTTGCTCGATTAATGGATACAAATCGAATTCATAATCCCATTTAGTTGAGAATAATAAAGAGTGAAACATATAACAAACAAAAAGAAGTATGCAACTGTTTAACTAATCTTATTTCTTTAACTTTAAAGAAAAATTTTACTTCACAGATTAAAATGAGCATACAGCTGTTCAAGATTGTTGTCCTTTAGAGTCTGTCTGTTATATTGATATACAAGTTATTCACTTTGTCCTTGTTTACCCATTGCGTCAAAAGCGCCTAACTTTTGCTGATTTACCGCAATTTTGACGTAAAATTGTGATTGACAAGCAAAAAAACTTGCCGGTTAATCGTGCAATTTATTGCACGCGATTAATTGCACGATTAACCGGCGATTATTTTGTGTGTTGTCACAGAAACACAGCAGAAAAATCGCAATTAATCACAATTTTACGTCAAAATCACGATAAATCGGCAAAAGTTAGGCGATTTTGACGCTATGGGTAACGATTTGAAATTGATATTTCTGTTCACATATATGTAACAAATGTACGATAAAACCATTTAATCAACAAATGCACACTATTCTTCTTGTAGTCGTTCATTGATAGATACATCCAAATTTATTTAAATTCAGTTCTTATACCATCTGCAGAAGGCTACTTTTGCAATGTAATACTATTAAATGAGATTTTTGTGCTGAAATAAAAGTGATGACCAGATAATATTTAATTTACTTGTCACCGTAAATCAATAGTTAATAAATGTATAAAAAAAGAAAAAAAAACTTCAATTAAAGTTACCGTATTAATTACATTATTAGCTTTTTTCAAAATAATTTTATGGTTCTGAAGTAGATTTGTCTGTGAGTTATCATTTATATACACCTTTCGGATGAAAAGGTTATATATTCGATCAGTGAAGCTATTTAAAAATGTGAGTAATCACATCGAAGCAATTAACGGCAGGTTATAATGACATAATCTCCAATCGTTATTTTTGTTTTGCTTTGTATTTTATATAATGACTGGATTCATTGTGATAAAAAAAGGACATAAACATGTATTTAAGATTAATCTCTAATGATTCCAATTTTCATTAATATAAGGTGACGGACAGATATAGAACAGTGTAGGTTTTTGTAACATTTAACTGTGAATAACCTTATAATCTCCTCGCTTCAACCGGATATCTATTTTCATTTGTATGTTCACAGAATCATATATGAAATGAGAACGATGAAACCTTGTGAATAGAACTGCTAAATTTGTTCATCGTAATTGTGAAGATGTTCTTCTCTATATTTAGACATATATGTCGAAGAAAATACATCACTTAAGTCATCTATAGCATGTTGCTTCTCTTTTTTTCCTTTTATTTTCTTTTTTTTCTTTCTATTTTCTCAGCGACTGACTTGTTTATTGATTCAACATTTCGTTGTATGCAAACAGCTAAAAAATGATTATGGGAAAACTACGACACATGAAAAATAGTTCTTCCGAGTAAACAAATAATTGAAATAAATTAATTTTAATCTCTTTTTGTTTTACCATTATTACAGCAATGTGAGGAAACCAAAGTAAGTTCTTGATGTGTAAATGTACTGGATTGATTAATCACTAAACTCATAGTGTATCACCATCTCACTACAGTATGTTTATCGTAATCTATATGATCATGATTTATCTCCACGTACTCTATTAAATGTGTAAAGAAGTTGAATGTATAAGAAGTGGAAGTTGCGCAGATCTTTCGCACTCTTACTGTATTGAAAATCGCCTTGAAAGTTTGGTTTTTTTCAGTCGTTGAAGTTGTAAGCATCACGTGACTGGTTTTGTAAACATAAATCAGCTCTATCTCTAGTGTATGCTAATAACGATAACAGCATGTGGAAATGAAGAGGGAAAATGCTGAGCTCTGACTTGTTCCTGCAAAATGAGCAATCGTTGATTACTCATTACGTTATAAATACTCTCGGTTTAAGCGTAAGCACCAACATATTTTCTTTTTTTGTTTACAAGAAAATCTGCTACAACTCGCATTTTGAAAGCTTTGCATTCTTCTTACTCTCTTTCACGAACTTTGCTTCCAAATTCCGCAGTATAAACGCTTGATTCTTCGTATCAAAACGCCATTGTCCGCTGAATTTACTTACAAAGTCAGAGACTCTGACTTTGTCAGAGTCTGAGTCAGAGTCTGAGTCAGAGTTTCAAGCGCAGGTTTTCAATCAATTGTTCAGGTTAGGACGATAAATTAGTACGTTTTGCGATTTAAAGGAATTATGTCTCAGAGCGTTTTGTATGTCAAAACTTGCGTATTTTTAGACAAATCAGGTATTTACTCTCATTTTTAAGATTTTTCGATTTACTCCGAAATCGGAGAACCTCCTCCCTGTTTCTTGTACTTCGAGGTATCTCTGAGTACTAAAACAACCTATTTATGACCTATTCATCTGATTCTCATTGACTGAAAAAGAAAGTTTTGAAATTTTCTTGAATATACATGCTATCGCTCTGCAATAGCCCAACTAAGAGTATTATATAACTAGAGTAGTATATAAAAACTGACAACTATTTGTGCATAAAGAAACGACCGTTCTTCTTTTCTTCTTCAAAGAGAATAAAAAAAGAAAAAAAATTCTGATGTTCACATCATGCAATCCATGGTAATTGGTTGGAGTTAACCCGATTCTTTTCTTTTCTCTTTATTCCATAAATGTCATAAAGTATATATCATCTTGTACAAAAATATAACATATATAGAGAAGGTTGGGACAGTTATGAGCACGCGTCAAATTTTTCTTCTCATTTTGTCAATTGGTCTAAACTATTCCGGAAATTCATTACCGGTAATTAGTGTCATTCAATTTACAGTTAATCCATCGGCATACGTTAAATGGGTCTGATTACTCTAGCCTACTCTAATACTTCGCTTTGATTAATAGTACTAACACTAAAATCATTACCATATTTGAAAAAACACTTTTAGTTTGTTACAGTAGTTTCTTGAAAAAACATTTCATTCTGTTACTAATGAAATTTTTGCTTCTGTCTTATATTGCGGATGTTCGCTCCCATAATAATCTATTTTTTTCAAAATTATAGGATTGCTTCATAAAATCCATTTTTCGGAAGAGATATCAAACTAACAAAGAAAGTTGTTCAGGAAACAGAATCAGTATCTCAACGCTCTATCAATTAGCTATCTGTATACAAAGGTAAGATTTAATTGCAAAGCATACTCGATTCTTTGAGTAGACCATTATTTAAGAAGTCTAAAGTTCGTTCACATTGTTAGAAAATGCACAGAGAATAATAACGGATTTTATCATAGATACATTTCTTTTGCAATTCTGCCCAAACCTTCCTTTCTTTCCTTCAAAACACGACTTTCCTTCTAAAGTGTACTATACAACAGATCAGCAACAATTTTTCCATATGCACACATATAATTTCCACTATATTAGATATTTTCGATACGTATATCTTTATTTCTGAATTTAAATTTACAGCCGACTGAAAGATTTTTCTCTTTGTGCCTGTAACCGGAGATATCGACTATCTAGTACAGTATTGTGAGAACTACTATTAGTCTAATCTGGTTTAAACCATTTTATTAGAGAATAAATGCAGAAATATAAGTGAAAGCTCAAGAATTATACTCTCAAAGACTTAAAATCTCAATAGATACATTGTAATTAGCTTAATATACTCTAATATAGAAAAGGCTACACGCAAGATTCATCACTTTCATTATCTAATTAGTGTCAACGACAGTATATACGTCAAAGTCATGTTTTCCACCATCTCCAGCTGCAGTTTGTACATAATAAACGTGCTATGTGAGCAATCAAGGAAACAACTGGTTTCCTAGATTTTATACATTCAGTTAAGAGAATAGTTACATATAGAGTAACTTGGGGTAATTCCGATCAGTGGTTTAAGTTTTTGTAGTATTTTTGATAGCATAAAGCTATTTTAGAACGGAAAAAACTGCTATTGCATAGATAGATAGATGCGAGTCTTAGCTATCTATTCATTAAAAAATTTCCTAAAAGTTCATTATGGTTAATTAGTTTCGTGAGTTTTCCAGCGCAATTTCGGCTGGTGATCGGAATTACCCCAAATGGGGTAATTCCGATCAGTCTGCCGAACGCTTCATTTTGTAGGAAAATGTTTTCTCTACCAAAATGAAGTGCTACAAAAATTTTAATGTTTTATATAGAGAAAATACAATAAATCGAAAACGCACTATAATCATAGAAAAATAATCG